TATACTAGTATGCGTAAAGATCTGTGTGTGTTTGTGTTTTAACTCCAGGATGTTTGTTATTTTGAAATATCTTCATTTGTTTTGCTTGAAGAAATTATGTTTAAAATGAATTATATTCTTGCAAATTTTACTGTTTTACAACATTTTATAAAAACAATTTTGTTGGTGACTTAGATGACATATGTGAATCAATAGAGTGGCAGGAGGAGTCAGTTAAAATTCCCGGAGGGAGTGCGCTCGAACTAGCAAACCACCACATGAACAGTGAATATATGTCCCAAAATACTACGGTTTTCAGTTCTGAAGAATTTGCACGATACTCAGAGAGGTACGAAAAAGTTCTGCCTAAGGTTTTTGTTTTTCTGACATTAATTTTTAATTTCCTCGATCTAGATCATAGGAGTTTGAAAGAATTACAAACTGAACAATTTATTTTATTTTTTATTTTATTAGTTTATTTTATTTTTTTAGGATGGCTGGTATAATGGAGAGTTGTAAGCAGAGCTGAGAGTTGGCTTAAATTTCATATATATATATATATATATATATATATATATATATATATATATATATATATATATATATATATATATATATATATATATATATATATATATATATAATGTCAATTCAACACTCAATAAAAATATAATCTTAAGTTAGAATGGATTATTTATTACATGTATTAGATTAAAGTTGCTTGGGGTGTCTTGCTGACGAAATTGTAAGACTAAAACATAGGTAATCAAAGATTACGAAGCTCACCTCTACGAATGTACTCTTTAAGTAAGGCAAATTTCACAGCATATTCTTTTTTTTTAGTTAGTGTACATCCCAATTAAGATCAATATCCATGCAAGTTTGGTTTAAGTACGACATTATAGTTACTTGGAAATAGACCTGTTCAAAAAAGTTTATCCTGTTTACTAATCAAGAAAATTTTGGTCAGTTCCAACATCCAAAGTAAGTCTGGAAGTTTTTATCCTTAGATGCACCATCTATGCAAATTTAATCATAACAGGCCATAATGTTATAACGCTACTCAAAAAAAAAATTATCCTGGTCACTCATCTGGAAAATGTAGGTCAGATTCAGAATCCAAAGCAAGTCTGGAAGTGACCATCCCTAGCTACATCATCCATGCTAGTTTGGTTAAAATATGGCTAAAATTCACTCATGTGCAAAATGTAGGTCGAATCCAGCAGCCGAAGCAGGTTGATCACCGTACATCCCAAGATGCATCATCCATGCAAGTTTGGTCAAGGTAGGGCTTATAGTTACTTGGGAATGGACCTGCTCCAAAAACTTTAACCTGGTCACTCATCTGGAAAATTTAGGTCAGATCCAGCATCCGAAGCAAGTGTGGTAGTGTTCGTCCCTAGATGCATCATCCATGCACGTTTGTTCAAGGTAGAGCTAATAGTTACTTGGGAATGGACCAATACTTTAACCTGGTCACTCACCTGGAAAATCTAGGTCAGATCCAGCATATGTAGCAAGAGTGGTAGTGTCCATCCTTAGATGCATCATCCATGCAAGTTTGTTCAAGGTAGGGCTAATATTTATTTCGGAATGGACCTGCTCCAAAAACTTTAACCTGGTCACTCATCTGAAAAATCTAGGTCAAATCCAGCATATGTAGCAAGTGTGGTAGTGTCCATCCCTAGATGCATCATCCATGCAAGTTTGGTCGAAGTAGGGCTAATAGTTACTTGGGAATGGACCTGCTCCAAAAACTTTAACCTGGTCACTCATCTTGAAAATTTAGGTCAGATCCAGCATCCGAAGCAAGTGTGTTAGTGTCCATCCTTAGATGCATCATCCATGCAAGTTTGGTCCAGGTAGGGCTTATAGTTACTTGGGAATGGACCTGCTCCAAAAACTTTAACCTGGTCACTTATCTGGAAAATCTAGGTCAGATCCAGCATCCGAAGCAAGTGTGGTAGTGTCCATCCTTAGATGCATCATCCATGCAAGTTTGGTCCAGGTAGGGCTTATAGTTACTTGGGAATAGACTTGCTCCAAAAACTTTAACCGGGACGCCGACGCTGGGGGTATAGCATAAGCTCATCTCGACTTCGTTGAGGTGAGCTAAAAATGAAAGATTTTACTGAATCCACCAATGATCTTGATTAAAACATACATGTTGAAATCGATAAAATTATATAATCTAATTCACTGGGGCTGGGTTCTAGATTTCCTTAAATAGGCAAATAGTGCCAAATACTTCAACTATATATTTAAATAAATATGATTTTAAAAATATTATTATTAAGAGATTTTAAAATGATTTTCACCCTCTACACGCCCAGAGATCTTCGAATAGGATTTATAGTAACGTCAAAACCAAGACGGATAAGTGAGATTGTGAAAAGGTACATGTACTCTTCTTCTGAACAGCAGTGGATCTAGTAACAAAAGGTTCATTCAGGGAATTAGTTCCTCACTTAAGGGCAGAAGTTCAAGTTATTAACCGGTAAAAAATGGGAATAATATAATTACACGTTTGTGAACTTGATCTATGACCCTTCTATCTAAAAATCAATAAGGGTCATTTCTAGTTATCAACAGCTTTAAAGTGAATCATTTCTTCATCTTTCATCTTCTTTTGGCCTCAAAATGATTTTTAGTTTCACTGCAAATGATCTCTCAGAACTATAGTCATCATCTGGAAACCATTTCTCGTAATGTATGAATTTTTTTACCTCGGTCTTTGACCTTTTAATCCCAAAATACTAGTATTAAGATGTCTCTAAGTCACAGAGAGTTATAACCTAGAATTCCATTGCAAAAACTAGATTTTTAAAGATATCAATTGGAAATTAAATCATACTCCATACAGTGTCAGTTCTCCAGAACTACGGTACTTTCCGCTGAATAATGCTGAAAAAAAGTTATAGCCTTACATTATTCTAAATAAGGGATGTGAAAGGGTGAAAAGACGAAACAATAGAAACGTCTTCAATAATGCTGTAGAAAACAAGAAATCTTTGCATAACATATATATTTCACACTCAGACATCCCTTAAATAAGGAGAAAAATAATAATACATGTGGATATAGAAGACAATTCAGTAATCTTTTATCTTTTAATCCGAAAATTTCTAGGAGCCATCAACGTTATATAGTCAACGTGCATATAAAGTTGGGAAGCAATCAAATGCATATTTGCTAACAAGTTAAATCACAAATTGTTCTCATTGCTTAATATTATTTTTAATAAAGTACATTTACATGTATCTTGCGAAGATTTGCAATTAACATGATTAAGGTCTGACGACACGTTCCTTAAATAACTGCATAATTTGCATCTCTTTGTAAAATACCGAAATCTCTTATTAATATCTCCTGATTTCTAAACCGTTTTAAAAATGTCTCGAAAAAAATATACATGTGTATATATAAACCAAATATTGTAATATAAACGATTCTAGTAATTTCCTGTAGGATTATATAGGAAATACCATATCATGAATCTGCACAAATGCCTGGTAAAGTACCGTAATTATTTGTAAGGAAGTTTCTAAAGAAAGGAGAACTTCAATATCAAATTCTTGGGAATAATTATATCTTTAGGGAACATTTCGTCTGACCTTAAAGCAAAATTATAATTGTAAACTTGTCAAGTGTTGTAACAATTTGAAATCGTCCTTAAAACTCGATTTAGTATGTTCGAAGATTATTGTAAACGTACTTATTTAAGCGGTAGTCATATTTTAGCGCCTTTCGCGTTGATTCATGTCTGATTTAAACTCATACCGGTATTTTTTCAAGACTCGCGCTGATTTATTTTGAGTGCACTAATTTGTGTACCTTTACAGCAATTACTGCTTAATCGGGACTATATGTCTTTCCATAATTTGTAGCACTGAGGCCGCAGTATTATTTTGTATAAGCAACACAGGAAGTCTACTAGAAAGCTGGATTAAAACATAACCAATCCTTGAATTTATGTCTAAAGTGTTCATCACAGAGTTTCATTTACTCTAAAATGTCAAAAAATCACATAAGCTGGATGCAAAAAATGTACGATGAAACTGATTATAATTGCTGTGACCGGATACACTGTACATATATTGTTGTTTGAAATTCATATTTATATGAGTTTTTTAGCCTAAAATTTTAAGGACACGTAAAAGTTATAGAAAACAGAGATTTTTTTTCAGGAACAGCCATTTGATTCTAGAGGGGGGCTGTCAAAAATTGTCGAGTCAGGTTATGCCTTCACATGACAGAATATATTTATTTCTAGGATGACAAGAGTTTTTTTTTTAGTTTTGTCCTCACTAAAAAATGTTTTACAAACAAAAACAGGGAGGGGTTGTCCAAACTAAAAGAAAACTTTCTTATTTATTTCCAAGATCATTATCCCCCCCCCCCCCCCCCGCACACACATACGAAACAGAAATCAAATATTTGTCCCTTTACATTTCTTTAACACTGGATAGAAAGTTCTAATTTATATAAATGTCAAACTATTCCAAAATTGAAGTGATTTGCTTTCTTGGTCGATCAGTAACACCGTGTGTTCTAGCGTTGCTGAGGTGGATTGAAAATGAATTTTAAACTAGAGTTTCAATCCAATGTTTTCTCGGACGTCCGTGTCGAACTGTACCCGCCCAATTCATTGTCTATCATGAAATGTTTTGACTGTAATAGATGGAAATGACGTAAGCTCCAATTTTGCCAGTTAATGTTCCGTGGTCTTAATTACAGCAAAAATATAAAAACTTTTTTCCGGTAACTCCGTTTCAGGGATTTGTCTCGACTGTTAAAGAATTCAAATGACACAATAAACACAAAATTAAGACACGGCACCGTCATTTTTTTTTCAATGTCATTTCCAAAAACAAATCTACATCTTATTTGAGTTTATTTTCCACTAGTATATTCCCAAAGCTTAATTTCTTATCTATATATTATTCACAAAGTGTAAAACTTTTAAGAAAATCAATAAAAATATCTTGTACATTTTCATATACATTGATGCAAGTTTGTACTAAAATTTCAAATATGTTCTTTAGGCATCTAAAATATATATAACCGATGCATAACATCATACATCGGGGGGGGGGGGGGGTGCTATGGGCGAGCATATATTACGATGGCGACTTTAGGCCAATAAATCCAATCTGGTTCCCAAACGGTCGGCCGTCTCTCCGGTATGAGTACAGCAAGTCTGGATGTTCAACAGTACACAAACTTGACGAAGTGTCGTCAATATTCTCTGGCAAAATTCCCTCGTCTTCTAACAAAGTGCGGATTGCTAGTTTTAAGTCCACAGTAGGATTTTTTTCTGTGTTATTGTTTATGACACACCGAGGATTAATGTCTTCAAATTGTTTAATATCGTCCTTGCCAAAATCAAAGCAATTTTTGCAAATGGAAGGTCCCAGGACAACAAAAATATTTTTGTTTTGACAGCCGAACTTTGCTCTCATCGTTTTAACCGTTTCTGAAGGAATATTTGCCACAGTGCCTTTCCACCCCGAGTGAACAGCTGCAAAAGCTCGTCGCACAGGATCTGCAAAAAGAATTATGACACAATCTGCACCAGGTGCTGCACACGTGATTCCAAATTTATCACTGACTACACCGTCATAACCATCTTCCGGAGGGTCCGTTCCTATCTCGTGTACCGTATTTCCATGCACAGCCTTTGCAACATAGAGTGCATCTACATCAAAATCTGCTTGAAGTGCCACACGACGCCTGTTTTCTTGTACAATAATGGGTGGGTCCCTCTTAGCAGTTGTATAGAGCATATTAAGAGACTTCATTCCAGGAATTGAAGAGATGCCACCCGTCCGTGTGGTAAAGCCATGGTAAAATAAGTCATTTGGGATCAATTTTGACTGCAGGATTCTAACTTCGTCTAAAGTCTTTAATTTGCTCAGATAGTCTCGAACACTTTTAGTTGTACTCTCTAGCGTTTCACTGCTTCTTGAAGTATTTTCGCCCATTGCAACAACATTCCAGTTTACTGCCGGAGTGAAAAATACTTGACAAAGGAATGTCATTTTTTGCTTGCGTTTACAAATTACCTTTATTTCTGGAATCATCGCATTGTCCAAATGGTTTTTGGCAAAATGAAATCCGGCAATTAATTCCGCGTTTAATATCTCCAGAACTTTATCCTTAAACAATTCCTTTACAATCTGTGAAAGGTAATCCGGAATATGGTCTGCTCCTATTAAGATAATGATCTCTACAGATTTTTCTGCCTTTAAAACGTAAAAAATTTCATCTTTGTCAGTCTTGTCAAAATCATCTGATAACAGAAGAACACCAAGGGCCATTGCACCTATAAAAATAACGGAACCTGTATAGAATAATACAAGGAGAAATTCTTGCCAAATTAATTTCACTTCCCATTCAGATATTACCCGGCCTTTCATGTACACGTAAACTTCAGTCTTGAAAAATAGATATAAAAATAACTTACAGGTCAATGTTTCATATAATAAGATGTTGCAGCAGTAAAAATTAAGAATTAAAAATTTAATTAAGAATAGCACTGTTGTTTCAGTTTGCCTAAAACAAACCGAAAGTTAATCTCACCACACGTTTTGACGTGAAGTGGGAAGTCCCGAATTATGAAATGTTCTACTCGATACTGTTATCTGTCATTTTAATGATGGTCATATTCAATTCATTGTGTTTGTTATGAAGTGTTTTGTCTTGAAAGGTGAACTGATTTGACATTAAGTATACTATAATATTTGATATTATGGTATTTAAAATAGTTCAAACTAAAAATTGTCTTTTTAGAACAGTAAATTACAATTTTTGAAGTTGTAAGAATCGAGTACAACCCGAAGAATTCTATTGGTCGACGTCATTTGCTCTATTTTAGCACACAAATACTTCCGGTTATAAAACTGACAGAAAACAGTGCGGTGCGGAGAGCATTGGACAAGAAAGATGACATTTTTAGTGGTTGAGAAGTTTGTTTACTGAAGATTACCTGGTATACACAATAATTTTGTGGGACGAGTAAGTATGCCATAAATGATACTATACTTTTTTTTGAAATAGGATAGGACCTAAATACTAATGCATAATGATTTTCCCTATATCAATGGCGTCAAAGTCATAATAAATAATAACGTGTAACGTTACTTAAAGAATTGTGGTATATACTCTTAATGAATAATAATATACTTTATATATGTAACTGGTAAATGAGTGTCTTTGAATACAATATGTTTTGGTTAATAGTCAGTTGGTATTATTAACGTTTTATTATATACAATTCAGCATGTATTAATTTTTATTCTAGGATTAATACAAAGTTAATATGTCCTTGGTTTAAAACCCTCTGTGGAATGTCTTCAGTCTCTGTTTTAGCTGTCTTGGACTAGTGACATTAAGTTGGCCACGGTCAATGAAATGACATATCAGATGCATAAATTTGCTGTAGGGTGAATTCACCATGCATCGGACACCCTCGTACTTCAACAAGTTCTAGCGATATCGCTACTGGCCGAATATTATCAAAATGGAACTTAACATGTAGTATGTGGTTAAAATATAAATTTTTGATACAAATATATGCTATTTATTGAGAAAATATCACTAAAAACCATTTTTTTTCTTAATGTGCCAGATTTCACCATGGATCGGACAATATTCACCATGCATCGGACAAATGGTATATGAAGCGGAAAAATGTCATAGCTTTATCTCGGTGCTTTAAAATTAGTGATCTTGAAATATTTTTATCTTTTATTTCAAAATTAACCTTCTAGTTAAATTTGATTGACTACATCAATCCACAAATGAGGAGAGTTTTTAGTTGCATCACATTGCACTAGAAAGGCTTTACAATGCTTTTTACATGTCAACTTGAACGTTGGTCTCGTGGGTTATCATACTCTGGTTTGTAAAAATAAATTAGTCCAATTCTAGACATCATATATCGATAACTTGTATATTCACTAAAAATTTAGAGTTTCTAATTTCTATTTCTGCAAAAAACAGATGTCAGTTGGGTTCTGTATGAAAATAGAAGTGATAACCCATGCATCGGAAAGTGTCCGATGCATGGTTAATTTGTGTCCGATGTACGGTGAAATGAACGTACTAGTAAAAAACAACTCTAAAAAAAATTATACAAACATGGAAGTGAAATTTCTTTAAAAGTTTTGTAAAATTACCAATCATTAACAAATTTCACCAAAGTCCTACTCGTTCCGTTGAAGTCTAATTAAAGAACGACAACTCTAAAAATTTGCAAAATCTAAAAATTCTGGTTACTCCCCTTTGATGATGTAAAATATGACGTAACTTCAAGGCCATTCTTGGGGTATTTTTATCGCAACATGATAATAAAAATCGGCATCAATAAAAAGTTTAAATCTTCAGCTTCAAGACAGAAACAAGTATAAACACGAGAACACTCAGATTCACAGAAAGTTTATTGCTTGAAGTTGTCCGAAGCAAGATATGTGTCCGATGCATGGTTAACTCACCCTAAGTATATTTATTGAGTCACTGGATTTGCTGCATTTGCACTGATGTTTGAATGATTCTGTTTCAGATGAAAGAGTATAAGAGTTTATGACAAGAACAGCAGCTTCAGAATGTTAAGTAAACAGCAATGTAGAAATCTGCTGGAGGATCCAGACAAGAATATCTGTGACCTGCCGGCAAAATTAATGCTGGAACTAAAAGATTGCTTGGATTCTGGACCAGAAACGACTAACTGGAGAGCTTTTGTTGATGCAACAGCTAAGCTCTATAAGAGATACACCTTTAGGTGAAATATTATTTCCTAAACAGGCAAATTTTGCTTTTACAAAGCAGGCAATATTATTCTTGACAATTTATCAAGTACAACTTTGTGTGAATCCTATCATATTTTGATTGCATCATTTTTTTATTTTTTTATTTTTTTGCATTTTATATTTTCCATTAATACGTTATGTGTTTTTCTAATTTTATCACATGTTTACTCCTTTATACAGTGGATACAGCTCACAGGATATCATTTTCAAATCCATTTTTGTGACATCACAATGGTTTTTGTGTCAATTTGATCAAGTCAAATATTATTGATTTATTAATATATAGAACAGTGTAATAGATGTGATAGCTATGTTTTAAACATGTGATAAAAAGAATGCCCCATGGTTTGTGGTTAGATATGATTTTTTATCCAATTCGTGGTTTTTTATCCTCTCCAAGGCTTGGGGATAAAAACACAACTTGTTGGATAAAAAATCATATCCAACCACAAACCATGGGAGATCCAGGACCTACATACATGCTTGATATCCAGTTTTGCATTTTTCATAGGCAATTGGAAGGAATCTTATTTTACCACAATTTTTTACTGATAGAATAGTGGTACACTGTATTCCTATATGTACTCGAATTACATTTTTAAAACAAATGAAAAACAAGCGGAAGGGTCAAGTTAGCTTTTCTGATCAAAGAATTTCCAACATCCTGTACTTTGTGTAGTCTATAAACATTTCGCATTTTCACATTTTCGGCAGACCCACAAAGCCAATGTCAACCAAACTTGCAACAAGGTATCCCTTGGTGATTCAAGATTGTTTGAATGAAGAGCCACACCCTTTTTTGAAGGGAGATGATTAAGAAATGGTGAAATAAGGGTCACTTAAAAATCTTTCTGGACCCACAGGATAAGAAAAGACAAACATGTGAAAGTTCCCATATATGTGTATATATACATGTATAGATAATTAGATTTAAGTTTGTTCAAATTGTATCCACTTGGATTAGAATTAGCAACAAGGGATCAGTGTTTAATATAGAAAAATATAGAGAAAATCATAAAAAATATCAGCTTGTTAATCATGTCATGAGTAGTGTTGGGGATACTTCTGAATTAAATTTATTTTGTTTAGAGGTGTAATAAGATTTTATATATATTTCCTTGAACAGTTACCAGGACATTGAGATGAAATTTGGTAGGCAGATTTATAATGGTAGTCCAAGTAAGGCTTTAATCAATGAACTGGGAGCTCTCAACATGACCGCAGAGGAGCTCACACGAGTTCTAGATCAGCTCAAGCTTGAACGAATTCTTATGTATTTGAAAAAATATGGTTTGTGTTTTTGCAGTAAATTTTATATAGAAATAATGATTATAAACATAAAAAATAATTATGAATTCTTAAATATTTGGAAAAAAATAAGGTTAACTTTAGTGGCAGTAAATGTATATTTGTAAGAACAATTATTATAGACATGTAAAAACAAATATGATTAAACAAATTAGTACTGAAATTTGATTACTATTCATAGTAGAGAACAGTGAATTTTATTTTTCTTAATAATTTCTTGCATTCACATCATATTCATCACAAAATTTGATTCATGTTAATATTTTGAATTTCATTGTTTAATAAGTACATTATTTCCGATATGAAAATTTCTCTTTAGAACAAATAAAGATTACCCGTGAGCCAGCGGAAACAACAGAGCTCAATGAGGGAGATGTTTTACGGCTGGAAATCGAGGGGATAGGATTCCCGTACCCCAGATATCAATGGTTTAAATTCAATCCAACAACTTCAAAGTATCAGGAAGTCCCAGGGGCCAACCTTAAAGTTCTCAAGATAGAAAAATGCAGGTAAAATTGTTGTCAGGTGAACTTACTGCATGCTTACTTGTTTTAGACAAGGTTTAATTGAATTTATGTGCTATACATGTGTTTAGTCTGTTAGAGTATTGGTTAACATGTTTATTTATAACGAAGAAGTAATGAAAATCATTTTGAAGAGAAGTCCCTTAGAATTTACTTTAAGTTATGCACAGGTAGGGACAATCATCAACATTTTTATTATTATTAACATTTCCTCATTTATGAAGAATTTTGTTTGATTGTTTTGTATAATCTATTGCTGAAATGAAATAAAAAAATCAGGCAGTAGAAATTGACTGAGTACCAGTACAGCTGTAAAACCGATTATGTGAATTAATATTTTAAGATGTGAGGACTCAGGAACATACTGCTGTCGACTCCACAATGGCAAGGGAAATTCACAGATCCATTTCAGTCATGAAGCTATTGTCATTGTAAAGGGACACCATTTCCCCATCAAGGAAGCATTTAAAACAGGTGAGACTGACTGTTGTTATGCCCCCCTTCGAAGATGTGAGGGCATATTGCTTTGCTGCTGTCTGTCGGTCGGGCTGCTGGTCCACCAACAGTTTCCATTCATTTTCTTCGCAGAGGTTGCACATACTGAAATGAAATTTAGTATACAGATTTTCATAAGAATATCTAGGTCATGTTGTTTTTTGGGTACAATTGAGCAATTTTTGACAGAGTTATGCCCCTTGGACTTAGGAAAATTCCAATTATTTGCAGTTTCCGTTCATTTTCTTTGCAGAGGTTGCACATACTGAAATGAAATTTGGAACACAGATTTATCATAAGAATATCTAGGTCAAATTGTGTTTTGGGTACAATCGAGCGATTTTTGACAGAGTTATTCCCCTTGGACTTGGAAAAATTCAAATTTTTTGGGTGTGGGCATAGGTGTTTCACAAACATCTCTTGTTTGAATTTGTTCGATTGCTGAAAATATTTTAGAGTCCACTTTAATAAAAGTACACAAATAAAGAGTTTTAGCAAACTAAAATTTATGTATAGATTACAAGTTAGAATTATACAATCATGTATGTTTACACATTTTTCTTGTGTAGCAAATTGTATGTGTATTGGTAAATGCTTTAAAAGTGACAGTCTTCATCTTTGAATAATTAAGAATTATTGTAAGCTATTCAACTTAAATTTATACAGTAATGTACATCAATATTTCATTTTGAATTAAATGTATGCATATATTTATACCAAATAATTTAAGGTATGTCACTCCTGACATTGGTTATATCAAGGATTTTTTGAGAAATGTAAATGTACTCTAAATATCTACTCATGTAGCAAGACTCAGAATTGCAAAGAAAATTGGGGTCATGCAGTGTGCATTAACATTTAGAGTTAATGACATTAATGACAGTTGGAAACATGAGATTTATACATAACAGGCTTTGCTCGTTATGCAAATTATTTCACATTTCCAGCTGTTGTTGGCCATTATGCAAATTATCCCACTTTTCCAACTGTGAAAACACCAAACTAGACAGTGATTCCTTAAATTTTTCTCTTTTGAAATACTGTATTGTATATACAGGATTATTTTTGCCCCATATTATTTTCACCCTAACACACTTGCAAAGACTGCCACTTTTTTAAAATTTGCTCAGACGCAGTTGTGTTAAAAGAGAGATAAAAGGATTGTGTTAAATTTGCTACATTTTAAATCTGTCCACCAACAATGAAGCCAGAATGGTGAAAATAAAATAATATAGCCCAAATTTTTCCTGTAAAACATAAATTACATGTATATGAAGTTACAGGCCAAATATCACTTTGTATTAAAGATACACTTGTTTAATGGTGATTACCCTTTTTTGTGTTACCTGATCCAACCATGAATGTGTGTTTTGAAGATTTATGTAGTGCAGTGATTGTTTTCATTTTGTTTGATGTCAGAACATTTTCCATTTCAGATACAAAAGGATATAACCATGACGTGCCTTATAATAATTCCATAGCATTAGACAGAACACAGTTTTATAGGCAGAAGGATGTCATGCCAGAAAAAGGTGTTAATTTAAAAAGTATTGTTTTGTAACCTTTTGGAAGAAAATTCAAGGCCAATCCTATTTTCAACTTTACTGGTTGGACTAGAAGAGCAGTTATGCTTTCTTTTAAATGTTATTTTTTAATTTTTTTTTTAAATTGCTGCTTATGCTTTTTCTTACAGTTTGTGCATTTTGGTTTAAGTGTAGAATACATTTTATAATACTGGTACATGTCAGTTACATGAAAAGATCCTCTTCCAATTCTGCATTGCATGAAAAAAAAAAGATTCCCTTCTCCCACTCTTATAATGGATGTTTTAATTTTGATAATTTGTAACAGGTAAATTTGCAACATCAAAGAAGTTAATAATAGCAATAAATTAATACTGTATTCATGCACAACAAAAGGACCCTTCTGCATAATGCAGTGTTTTTTGGTTTTTTTTTTTTTTTAAGAAATTACTTGCTTTAAATTTCCATCTCACTTCTCTCCTTGCTTTTTACTTATCATTTCTCTCCTATTAATAAATGAGAATGAATTTTTCTTTTTACATATGTCATTATATACATGTACATGTAGGTCAGTGTCATTCAGGATACTTAACAAAAAATTGCCTTTTCTGAGTCAATGCATTTATATCAAAATATTTCTTCCATTGTAAATGAATATATATATATATATATATATATATATATATATATATATATATATATAGGATCTCCTATGATTTGTGGTTGGATATGATTTATATCCAACGAGTTCTGTGTTTTTTTTATCCTCGAGCCTTGGCAAGGGGATAAATAAACACGAGTTGGATAAAAATTGTATCCAACCACAAATCATGGGAGATTCTTTTTATCACTTGTTTTATACATCACCATCAATGTTTTACACTGTTTTCATATATGAATCCACATTATTTAACTTCACCACTTTTACACAAATCCCATTGTGACGTCACAGCAGTGGGATATGAAAAAAATATCCAATGAGTGATATCCATTGGATAAAGGGGTAAACATGGGATAAAAAGAGTCTTTACCATCTTTTAAGTTGATAAAATCATTGTTCTCAGTTTTAAATAAGAAAAAAAAAATTAAATAAATAATAAATACATGTATCTACTTTTGGGGGTTTATAAGGCAAAAGAGTATACATTGCTGCATGTGGTAATTAAACCAGCGAAGCTGTGTTTATGCATGGATGACATGTACTACATGCTTCAATGTACATATAACCCCATAAACCTCAAAAACTTAGATTCATCTATTTCTTAGATATGTATTAATTATGTATGTATTATGTATTTTGGCTGCTTAGTATATTTTGACCTGAAAGCCACCAAAATCCAATGAAATTCATTTTTATATATATCACAGGGAAATGGTTAGGAAAATGTCATTATAATGTCTTCATGTCACATAATGTACATAGACATGAGTTCATAAGCTAAGATAAGATCTAAATTAAGTTTTAACACTACATCAGTAAATTTAAATATTAGTATAAAAAAGAACCTATTACTACAATGATTCAGTTTACCTCTTTATTTAGCTGTACTTCCCTACATCTTGGAGCATCCTAAGAGTCTGCAGATCATGAAGGGAGCTAACCTCGTCCTGAACTGTCAAGCTCTAGGACGACCCCCATTGTCCTACGAGTGGTACAGAAATGGCCAATACTTCAGCACAACAGAAGACAGTTATATAAAAGTATATATATGGATTTTTTGTGATGGAGTGAAACACACTTTTTTCAGCAGCTTTACTTGAAAATTGTCAATAACAAAAAAAAAATGAATGATGAATAAATAAATAGATAGATAAATAAATAAATTTTTAAACCTTTTGAAAATTATTATCAAAGAAGTATAAATGATCTCAAGTTTTAAAAGCACTAAGTTTTGTTTTCATTCATTTTGGGAATAGGTTCCAGCACTCGGTAATCAGATTGGTACCTACTTCTGTCTGGTGAAAAATGCATTTGGAGAAGTTAAAAGTAAAGAAGCCATAGTGACAGTTTCAGGTAAAAAAATAAAAAATAAATAACCAAAAAGTATCCTCTGAAATGTGAAAACTTGAAATCATGACCTTTTCGTAATCTTGGAAAAGGACATCAAAAGTTACGGAGTGCTGGGTTCTTAGTGGATGTAGATTCAGCTTCATTGTAGTGGAGTTATGTTTCAAATCTCAGCAAGACTGTTACAGGGGAAAAGAAATTTATGTGTTAAACGTTTGTTATATTAATGGTTGAATAAGGTTGTGAATTCAAGAAACAATGAATAATGTATCAGGTTTATGTTTAAATGTCATTATATTTACAATGAGAATATTTTTTATAATTTTTGCAAATTGTTTTTAATATTTGTTCAAATCACCCATAATGCCAAATATCACATTTGTTCATATAAAAATGTTCATGACTTCGGCTGCATACTTCCTCTCTGTTCCATGGAAATATTTTGGGTTTAAAAAATGGTAACTCAATCTGTGCAACTAGAGAGGAAAATTTCCTGCCTTTTGTAGCATAGTCTAGAAGTAGATATTAATTCACGCTATCAAACTCAATCAAAGATGAATTGATTTTAATCATGATAAGTAGGGAATAATGCATACCCTCACAATTTACATGTAAATCCAAGATTTCTTGATTTTGATTATGAAATTTATTGTATTCTTTACAGAGAATTTACCAGAGCCAGTTGTTCAAGCAGGTAGATAGAAATATGAAGAATCAGTTTACAAAATACTCACTAAAATCTGTGTTAACATCTTGCCTGTTTGATTTAATTACACAAAAGATTTACAAGATCAATATGTAAAAAAAAAAAAATATGACAAATAATCTACAGTATGTCATGTATGCCTGGTGATATAGTATTTATGGTATTTTTACAACAGAAATTGAGATCATCAGTAACCCTAAGTCATGTACAGTAGAGTTTGGAGGGAGCTGTATATTTAACTGTGAAGCCAGGTGCCGTGGCCTCCAACTCCATTATGAATGGTTTAAAGATGGCAAAAAGATTCAGGGTAAGACTTCTTAGTAAAATATTATGAGGAGAGGGCATAATTATATTGATTATTTTGTCTGTAAAAGAAAAGATTCAGGGTAAGACTTCTTAGTAAGATATTATGAGGAGAGAGCATAATTATATTGATTATTTAAGAAATAAGGTATCATTTTTAAACATCTATCGGGATATAAATACGGGTTGGTCACGAGATCAAATTCCATAAAGCCCGAAGGGCTTTATGGTAAATTTGATCTCGTACCAACCCGTATTTATATCCCGATAGATGTTTTAAAATGATACCTTATTACTTATATTTACATTTGTGACTTCTTCATATTATATATTAGCCTGATTATAACTTGAACGCGTGAAATGTTTTATTTTTTCAAACTCAACGGTACGAGTTTGATCTATAGATTGCGCGTCGATCCTTTATGACGTCACTGAGAAATTACGTCGAACGTTTATGACGCGAGGAACCTGTGTTTATACGGATATAGATACGCGTTGCTTTTAATAGTGTTATATAAAAGAAAACATTTGCAAATGTAAATATTTGTCTGTAAAAGAAAAGATTCAGGGTAAGACTTCTTAGTAAATTATTATGAGGATCGAGAGAACGTAATTATATGAATAATTTTGTCTGAAATCCTGATTGATAATTTTAATCAGAGATAGCTAGTGCCTTATTTTAAGCAGACTATAGCTATACATTCACTGAAATGGTTTGGGAATGATAAGGAATTCTGTGTGTGTTCATTAATTTAACTGGAGCTAATGATAACTTTTCATTCTGTCAGGTCAGTGTAAGAGTGAGCTGAGGTTGGATCGGTTACAAAACATGGAACAGCAAGGAAACTACATGTGTATGGTGACTGTGCCTGAGCTTCAATTAAGTCGCCATTCTCATATTGCCTGTCTCACCATCAAAATGGACCCCAACAAACCACCAGAGTTTAATCGTGAGTCATTGCAATGCTGTTAAAGTTTTCAGTTATTGAAGCTTGTCAATCCAAATTTCTGTTTTATAAATTGCTTTGAACCATATAATTAGTCTTAACCTTAATTCTTTATTGACAGCCACGGACAAAGTTGCACTGTTGATTGGGAATTACGATTACAAAAATGAGACGGAGTTAAAGGCCCCTGAGACAGATGTCTCTACCCTAGCCCAGCTCTTCAGACATCTAGACTTCAAGGTTGTCACCCTCCTTAATCTGACTAAAACAGAAATGTTGTCCGCAGTGGACTACTTTTCAGAACTCCTTGGGAAAGGTGTATATGCAGTGTTTTACTTTTGTGGGCACGGCTTTGAGGAGGATGGGAAGTGTTATTTTGTGCCACCTGATGCCAAGGCTGGCTATACAATAGAAGACTGTGTTAGTGCTGAAAATGTACTGTATAGAATGCAGAAGCCTGAACCAGACCTCATTGTGCTGATCCTAGATATTTGTAGAATCAGGTATGTATGCACTGTCAGATTTATAGAGTATTATGGCATTGTCAACAGCTATTAAAGGATTCATAAGTCTTTATAAAAGGAATATCATACACGAAAGCATCCTGTGAATAGATCTCAATAGTATTTACACATACATAAAATGTACGCACATGTAACATGAATTTCACATGAAAGCCAAGTGACATTTTCTTAACACCACTTGAGTGTTTCTTTCACTTGTAAGAGTTTAGTAACACTCATTTTGTGCTAAGTCTGTGTACTAGGCCAGCTTAAATTTTGCATGAAATTAAATGGACGCTCAAAGTTTTACATAGGAATATAGAATATCTAGGAAAAATCTTTTAAAATCTTCTTCTCAAGTACATCAAGCCATAATAAGTCGTACATTTGTGGAAGCACCTCAGGTACTGTAGATTCCTTATTTTTCGCGAGTACTTATTTTCGCGAAATGGCTCTTTGACGTCAAATCGCGAAAACAATAATTCGCGAGTGGACGGTTGATCAAGAGATTTTACATTGATTTCAGCACCATAAAAATAAAAGCGAGTAATTTTATTTCGCGAGGCATGCTTCTCGCGTAATTACGCGATAATTAATTCCTCGCGTACATTTAGGAATCTACAGTAGTGTAGATTCAAATTTCTTTAAATCATGTCCACTGGAGGTAGGGTGGGGCCACAATGTGCAATCAAAATTTTATATAGGAATATACAGGGGAAAAAAAGCCATACATGTAATTAGTCATATTTATATGGAAGCACCCTCAGGTAGTGTAGATTCAGATTTGATAAGTTCATGACCCCTGGGGGCAGGGTGGGGCTACAATATGTTATCAAATTTTACATATGAATATACATGTAAAGGGAAAAAGTCTGATAATGAACAGCAGGGCCATATTGACTCAGGTGAGTGATGTGGTCCATGGGCCTCTTGTTTTATTTAATTCTTATGGCTATGGTTATTAATCAACATAAAAGATAGTAAAATATACACATTAGAAATTTTTACCACCTTTGTTGTGCATTTTTTTACCACTTTTGTGGTAAGTCATTCAAGTGCTTGATTGGAGGTTTTGGTTGTTTTAGGAATCGTGTTGAAAGTGCCCGACCATCTATAATGATAGACATTCCTCAGAGAGGGAACACAGTCTTCTGTTATGCCACGTAAGTATTGCTGCTTCTTCATTTGTTTGTTTTTTCAGCACTATAAATGATAAAACAAGAATATTGTTCAAGTAATCTTCTTTGTTGTGTTTGTATATATATAGAGCTTTATTTTTATGAATTTAAATTTTAATGAACATGTATGTATATGTTTCGTTTATTTTTTAGGCCATTTGCTAACATAGTTGTAGATTAAAAATTGTATCCATCTGTATAAAATTCTCAAAGCTGAAGGAGTTGCAAGAACTACACGTACATGTATCTTGATTAAAAAAAAAAAAAAAAAAGAACATGTACATCATAAGTTTGAAATTTTTGGTTCATGTATTTCTGCATGAAATTATACAGGGCTTTTATAGCATTTTATTGGTACATTGCAACTAGAACACACAAATGTTTAATTTAAAAAAATCTATGTGGAGAAGAGTAAGGGATCGAGCATAAATTTACTAGCTTCTTTTTAAGTTATTCAAAAGTATCCAACAAAGTTAAGAATTTCTTTATACTTTAAGTCTATGTAAGTGTTTGTTGTAAACTTAAGAAGATTTCATAAGTAAAGATTTTGGAACTTTCCTGGATCATACTCAATGTGTATAGATTGGAAAAATTGAGATTAAATGCCTAGTACATATAGTTCAGGTTTACATGCAGTAAACCATGCTTATAGCAAAGTGCCAGGGACTAGCAATTTTGCTTTGTTTTAAATGTAATTCACGATCCGTAAAGTTTACAATGTGAAAAAAGCCCACAGGGAATAAAAATCACTTCCTTAAAAGTGTGGATTCATTATAAGCATGTTTGTAATAAGCATGTTTTACTGTATTTAGATTTTTTTTTCTGTATTTTTAGGAGCACAGGAATGTATGCATATGAAGATGCAGTGAATGGAATTCTAGTCAAATATCTACAGAAATTCATTGTTCAAGATAAGGGTGTACTGGAGATTTTTACTCAAGTACAAGAGGGTTAGTTTCAAAAAGAAGTACACCTCTGATATTTTATTGCTTGTATGAGAGAAATGTTAATGAAGAGTTTTTCAGTCTGTCAGTTAGAATCACATTGTGAGGGTGACACAATAAAAACACTTGTATACTTTTAATTGAAATAATGAATACAATTTGTCTGAACTGAAAATATTTTATTTCATTACATTAAAAAAAATTATGAATTTTTCAAGGTAAAATATTAGTGTATATTGTTTTTGCAGCAATAGGAAGAGAACCCAAGCATTATAAGTTACAGATTCCTGAACTCAGGTCCAATCTACTGCAGCCAAAACGTTCTTTAGCCGACAAGATCTCCACAAAAGGTGCTACAAAATTGTATCATCAGCGAACACTGCGCTGGCTGGAGTGCCATCGTAAGTACTTCATAATCAGTTTCTGGATCTCTGTAGTGTGTTAGCTTAAGTATTACATGTACATATTTTTTGATGTGTTACTAAGAAGTATAAATGTAAAAAAAAAAATTAAATAAGATGGAGTGTTATCCATGATACATCTTGAATTTTAAAAAAAAAAATTACCTTGATACTGATGCAGCTGTATATTAAATTGGCAATCCATTACACTGAAACATACATGTACATGTAGGGATCTGAAAGATTTAAAAATATGTTAAACTGGAGGATAAAACAAAATGACAATCATTGATTGGAATGGACAACCATGTGTTTCCTACATCCAAAAAATCAAATTCAGTTCTTGAACAATATATTTTTATAGATATGCTAAAATGAACGCTCATTCACTGGTATGCAGTGTCTCTTTCTGTGAGATTACCTGTGTTTTACTTACAGAGAAACCAGACAAGAGGCTGATAGAGATTCCAGACTTAGAGATGGAACTGGAGATGGAATTCCAGTCAGACTTCTCTAATGTTCTCCATGTCATCACCACTGTTAAAAAGCCAGGGAATACCAACAATGCTGTGGCCTTCATTTTCAAAATTCCCTCTGTATGTTTTGCTTGTCATTCTGGCTTTCTCTTTCTAAAAGATATATTTTGAACTTGGAAAAGACAATATACAGGGCTCTCGATTCCCTTTAATTGGGGCCAATATTCGGCCCCATTCCCAACGTGAAAAAGGCACCTTTTTTCCCAAATTTGAGTGTAAAAATTCCCAATGTATGATTGCTTAAAATTTATTACTGTAAAAAAAATAAAAAGCATGTCTTTGACAGTCGTAAAAGTACTGTGAAGATATGAAGGAAACACTTCCGTGTTGTAAACTGGCAGTTTGTATATATGCAGGAACCAGTTTAATATGAAAGCGAAAGTTAACTATAGTAAATTACGAATTCTCTTCGGTACGACTTGTTTTTTCACAAACCGAATACTATTGAAAAAAAGATTTCTACTAAGACTACTGACAAATGTAAGAAAATAGACACTTTGTTTAAACAACAGGCATTCTGAGAGTATTGCATTAGCAATACTAGTCCCCTACCGGCAAGTGTAATCTGGTTCCCGTTAAGAATTGAAAATGCCATAATTCCTTCAAAAATTAATGAAGCGAGACAAAATGCAAACTTGATCTATAACTAATCAAGGTAAAGCCACATACCAAAAATCAGCTCAATATCTACAAGCGTTTAGAAGAAAATTGCGGAAAACCCGTAAAGATTGAAAAGGCCGTAATTCCGTCAAAAATCAATGAAGCGGAACGAAATGCAAACTTCATCTGTAACTCATCAAGATACACTCACATACCAAAAATCAGCTCAATATCTGCAACCGTTTAGGAAAAAAGTGCGGAAAACCAAGTGGGACAGACTGACAGAGGGACAGACGGACAGACAGACAGACAGACGGACGGACAGACTCAGAGGAAACCTATAGTCCCCTCCGGTTTCACCGGTAGGGGACTAATAAAGAGCAAGCTCCAAGATGTGCCATTTTTGACACAAAATGCTTTATTTACATGTATGAGCCAGAAATAATGCACTTCTTAAAAAAATTTGAATCCCCAATTGATGTAAAATTTATAAATGGTACAGTTAGATATATGAAAAATTGTCAAATTTGATCATTGATATGGCAAGTTATTTAATTGTTTATCTAAGTAGGTTTATTTAGAAAAAAAAAATTTGTAAAACGAATTTTTTCCTAATTTCAATAGCTGTAAGAGAAAATTTATTTTCAAGATTTGTGCAAGGTGTATATGTACTAATATATAATTTTTTTCCTACATTTGTAGGCTGTGTCATTAAAAGATATCAATCCAAAAGTGACTTCAAATAACCCCACCCGTACCAAAAGCACAATGCAGGAAATTCAAAAATTAACGGTAAGTAGAGTATGAAATACTGTGTAATGGCGAACTTCATGTTTTGGATTCTTGTGCATTTATTAGGTCACCTGAGTCTCTCAGGTGACCTATTGCTATCTCTTTTTGTCCATCGTCGGTCGTAAACTTTCGAACATTTTCAGCTTCTTCTCTGGAACCAGTGAACCAATTTCAACCAATTTTGGCATATAGCATCTTTGGGTTAAGGGGAACAAAAATTTTGAATTTCATGGCCCCCGCCCCCCTGGGGCCTGAGGAGTGGGGCCAAAACCATCAAAATTAATGCAATCTTTAAAAATCTTCTTCTTTACTTCTGGACATCAAGCAGTCAAACTGTTGGCATGATTGTAATAAGCATTGGGCCCTCTACTTAAATTGTGAAATTCATGGCCCCAGGGTCAGGGGTTCTGGTGCTAAGGCGGGGCTCTGTTGACTATATACATGTAAATAAAATGCATTATTCCTGAAAAAATCTTCTCCTCTGCTCCTGGGTATTCAGGAAACAAACTAAATGCATAGTTATGATGAGCAAGTGTGTCTCTTCCAAAATTGTGAAATTCATGGCCCCTGGATCAGGGGTTCTGTAGTCAGGGTGGGGCTCTATTGATTATATAGTGAAAATGCATTAATTCTTTGAAAATCTTCTTCTCTGCTCCTGGGTATTAAACAAACTAACTGAGTTCATAGTTTTGATGAGCAAGGATGCTTCTTCCAAAATTATGAATTTCATGGTCCCTGGGTCATGGGTTCTGGTATTAGGGTGGGGCTCTATTAATTACCAGGTATATAGTGAAAATGCATTAATACTCTGAAAATCTTCTCCTCTGCTCCTGGGTATTAAACAAACTAACTTAATGCATAGTTATGATGAGTAAGGATGCCTTTTCCAAAATTATGAATTTCATGGCCCCTGGGTCAGGGGTTCTGGTGTTAGGGTGGGGCTCTATTGATTATATAGTGAAAATCATTAATACTTTGAAAATCTTCTTCTCTGCCCCTGGAGATTATTTTAACAAACTAACTGCATGATTATGATAGGCAAGGATGCCTCTTCCAAAATTGTGAAATATATTGCCCCAGGGTCAGGGGTTCTGGTGGAGGGGGGGGGGCTCTTTTAATTATATAGTGAAAAAGCATAATATCTTCAAAAATGATCTTTTCTGCTTCAGGTTATAAAGCAAAGAAATTAAGTTTATAGCTATGATGAGCAAGAGAGCTTCTTTCAGAATTTTGAGTTTCATTGCTCCTGTGTCAGATGTTCTGCACAGGTACTTGTGGACAGGACCCCCCCCCCCCCCCCCCATATTCAACCCCAGGGCTTGTTGGACATTTTTTTTTCACAAATCATATTTATTGCACTTATTCATCATGTGTTCCATAGGAAAAAATCGTGAAAACCCCAAAGTAATTGTTCCACACAAAAAAATGCCTCACTATACATTATAAGAGAGAAAGGTATGCCACTCCGGTTTGTTTATGTTGTACCACCACTGGTCTTTCTGGGTTTAAAAAACATATATTTATTTGATTTTAACCTAAAAGTAGGTTCACACTGTCTCTGCATATATTTCTTTCTTAGTTCATGCTATCGGATTGACTCTGCATCTCGTAAGAATCCCACAATTTCTCCTTAAACAGCATTGCAAACAGGGGGTTGAAAAATCCTTAGGTAAACGCAATGGAAGTGCATAGAGAATATATTACTTATTATGATAAAACCCAAGAGAGATTATTACATCAGGCCATAACTCTCTTGGACGTTATCGTAATAAGTGATACATTCTTGGTTTTCTTCCGTTGCGTTTACCTAAGCAAGGGTATTTTTACCAAATTTTGATTTGGTCAAGCAATCAGGTCCTGGGCAGGGCTCTATTAATTTTTATTCTGAGAGAAGTTATTCCCCTTTTCCATTCACCTTTGATAATTAATCACTGTAAATAATGTATTTGAAAGGTTAATAGAATAAGAGAACTATGCTAGAATTTTTATTTTATAATACAAAAAGTACTTTCTAAGTTTTAATGATCAGTTAGAACTTAGACCTGTAAATAATAGATAAATAAAAATGAGACAAAATATCTTATTAAATGTTCTTCAAAGACCAAGAGAGGTCAATGTGAGAGGTTATATTATGGCGTTAAAGATAGTACAGAAGCACTAATAGTTTGTTAATTGTCTGCATGGTGATAGTGATAGAGGGGGACAGATTAGAACGTAATTTATGAGTTGTTACTGAATATTAGACCAATTATTTTGTTGATTTTGATCTTCCTACTTCTCTTGCTTTTGGGCAACAAAGCTTCATCTATCAGTTGATTTTATACTCTATGATCCTCTCAATTGTTGTATTATACTCAGGTGATCGTTAAGGCCCTTGGGCCTCTTGTCTTAAATAGTTGCATGTATTGCAAATAAAATATTGCATCCATATTTGTTTGCAAATCGTTCTGAATGCAGTTTTATACATTAAACAATTGGAATTAAATTTTAAAAGTGTAATTTAAATGGCAAAAATTCAATATTTCATCACTGCAAGCTCAACCTACATGTATATCTAAAAAAAAAAAATTATGGAGAAGAAAAATGATGGTTTGCATGCATATTGGGTGGAAAATGTAACTGACAATCATGAAAATCAAATTTAATTCTTTATCATCTTCACAAAAAATTTTGACAGGAGGATTTGGTGATTGATATTGGTGTGAGATATATGTCTAAAGATCAATCTGCTCCACCACAAGTCAAACTTAAGACTGTACAAGTCAACTTAGGGCTCCCCCTGGTGGCTGTGTTAAAGTTATGGAAACCTATTGAAAATGAGGCTACAGAACATGAAGACTTTAGTGATAAAAATAGCTACTCCTAAAATCACAACTCTAAAAGTTAAACATTTGATATGGAAAGTTTATCGGTGTGATGGTGTACCAAATGAAAAGAGAATCTGTACTGCAGGAGTATTGAGTGATGGTGCTGTTGGATTCTTTTGTTTCTCAATATAGGATGATAAATTTTGTCCACACTAATTTTGTCAGGGATCTGATTTTTGTTCATTATCAATAAGTTGTTTTGTTTGTTTAAATAAAGGTATAAATAAATGTAAAAGTTGCATGTATTGTAATTTTGTCAGTTTGACCATAGTTGCATGTACCTATAAGTTTATGGAGGACACTGCCTATTGAATGAAATTTAGATATTATTGATTTAAAGTATTATATAATGTTGGTGCAAACATTTCATTCATG